CTCAACTTAAGATATCGAACTATAATTATCATGTCTATTCTTTCTATTGTTTGTTTTGTCTTTTCTTTTGCATTCGACATTGCCATCCCTCTACTGTGTAGCATCGCCCGACTGTGACTGACTGCTTTTGCAAAGAATGAAGATAGAGAAAAATAAAAAGAGAGAAAAAAGAAATTCTACTGTAATATAGAACTTTAAAAAAAGAGCGAACACTTATCATATGTTTGCAAAAAAAAATAAAATAAATAAACGAGATATATACATATTCTAAATGCGCGTAAAAATGTAAGAAAAGAGAGAAACAAAAAAAGAAGGATAAATTAATCTAAAGATAAAAATAGAAGAAAAAGAAATACAGATTAGAAGCATGAGAAATACGAGCCCACCGGTGTAAATGTTTTATTTTTATTTGGATATTTTGTTATATAATTTGTTTTAAACTTCGTTTTCTCGACTAAATTTTATTGATATCGGTGGTTAATTATCAGTTATAGTTATGCTATTCAGAAGATAAGGACGTTGTATATCGTAATAATCATATAATAATTTGGGTGCAATGACGGCTCGTATCCTATATATTGTTGCAAATTGTGGCGAGTTTCGTTCAACGGAATCTTCAAATGTTTTGATCATGCCAAGCTAGAATTGTAGGAATAAAGACAGAAAAAAAATGATCCATATTATTCTTTTATCAAATAAGCCAACAATAGCATACGTATCACATAATTAAATAAATAAGACGTTAAATAAAAGAAAAACCATAGGAGAAGATTGATTAATTTTTTAAAAGCGTAAGTTTATATTTATGAGTAAACTATAAGAAAAGTAATGAAAATGCAAGAAATACTAATTCATTTATCATTTTATTTCTCTTTTATTAATAAGAAAAAAGTGAACTTTCGATGTGTTTCGCACGTCATTATCAAACACAATGAATAAGAATTAGATTGTAGATAGACTCTATTATTTTTTATAACGACGATAATATTCATGAACAGTACAATACAAAGGGAGAGCAAATAAATTTCTTTGTTATTGTAGTTGGTGCATTGCAGTGTTTATGAATATTATTGTCGTTAAAAAAAAATAACATAATCTACCTACAATCTAATTCTTATTCATTGTGTTTGATAATGATGTGCGAAACATATCGAAAGCTCACACGTTTTTCTTATTAATAAAAGAGAAATAAAATGATGAACGAATTAGAATTCCTTGCATTTTTATTACTCAATTATATTTCGTTTAATAATGTTACTATGACAAAAATATAATTCTTTTTCTGCTCTTCACATTTTCTTCATTGTCTTTTCAAATCTTAAATACTAGCTACAGCAAAATACAAACTCAGGTAAATTTCAATGAATATATTTAAGGGAGACAGAAATCAAAAAACAACATTTATCGAATAGATGGATCAAACCTCAAAAATAAGTGGGTGCACATGGTGTTTATATTATCGTGTTTTAGGATGATTTAATGAATAGACGTCAGCTGGAAATGCCTTTTTCATTTAGATAATAGTAGTTACCTTTGAAAACATTCATTGTAGATTTATAAAAAATTCTTCAGTGTCTGGATTAGAATAGAGACTCATTATTAGACATATCAATTGTCGTAAAGTATAATTGTTCAAATATGTACATGCATTGATGTTAGCAAAGCAAAACATTTCTAATGTCATTGATATGCAAAAGAAACAAAAAAAAAGAGATTAAGTAAGTTTTAAGAATATATATGTATTGATGTTAATTCTCAACAGAGTTATGATTAATTGCATACAAGAACAAAACACCAGTGACATTGTTGATTGTTTTGTTTTATTGCAAGAAGAAGAGGATAGTCCGATTAATCCTCGTTTTTATCTTCTTTTACATACCTGCATTTGAAGACATGTTCGGTGACGCTGGTTCATCAATATCGTGTGTATCCAATTTCGGCATATAACGTGGCGTTGGGAGCAAATTAATTATCTAAAATAAATAAAATTTATCTAAAAGTAAAATAAAATAAAACTAAATCTTTTTTACTTGATGCCATAGAAGAACCGAAACACCAAAGAGAAGACACCACATCCATTGTTTAAATGTTAATGCAACACAAGAAAATAGAAATGAACCATATTGAACAAGAACAATTTGTATAACAAATGTAATAATCCATATAACATAAAAAGTTGAATGTGTAAATATTCCACGAAAAACATTTTTTTCACCATAAATTTTTCGGCAATTTATTTCATTAAATAAATTTATTAAGACAAATACATTGAATATAATTGTAAAATGTTTAGATGGTTTATATATACTATCAACTGAACGATCATCATCAATATCAAATATTTTAGCTCCTTTAATATTCAAAAACAAAAAGAAAAAAAGATGTATAATTATCTCTATTCATGACTTCTTGTTTATTTTGTCTTACCAGCAAATAAAATAAAAACTATAACAACTAATTGATAAAAAATATGACCAATAATATTTTTCATTGTTGTATGAGATATTAATAGTCGTGTACGTTCATAGGGTTTACATGTTAATAAATCTTCTGCTGATACTTCAGAAGCAAGTGCTAATGATGCCAATGTAGTCATAACTGAATTAATCCAAAATATTTGTGCAACAGACAGTGGAGGTTCTTTTACAATACATGCTCCAATAAAAACACAAAGTATAGTAGCAAAATTAATAGTTAATTTAAATTGAGATGTTCTTGCTATTAAACCATAAACCTGACGTCCCCACATAACAGCTTTGACTATTGAATTAAAATTATCATCAAGAAGAATTATATCGGATGCTTCTTTTGCTAGATCATTACCTTGTATACCCTATTAAATAAATTAAAGATTAACTTAACAATCAGAATTTAGTATGATACAAAAGTTGATAAAGCTTATTACTTAAGATATAGAATTGAATGTGAAAATGAATGCCAATTGAGATTTATAATTGAACTACCTCGACGACTTACATAAAACTTGAATATGTTTTCAGATTCACACATTATCTGTATTAATTTTATTCTGATTCTAGATCTGTGGTTAAATCTTTCTTAAATGTATGCATCAGTCGGCTATCTGTCTTAATCTATATTTACATATATACTAAGTCTAGATCTTTATTGAGCTCATATTTCACGAGAGAACTTTTACAAATGATGAATTGCTTTTGAATCAAAACTATATACATCACGTAGGTTTCAAATATGAGCAACGTCATACCATAGGTGTAACTTAGCCAGATGTCACTTAAGGATCTCCAGATTGTAGGAGCTCTCTACAAGAAAATGTCTCAGACAGATTGCCAAAATTCAAAAGTTGTCTAACATCATAATGAATAACTTTTAATTATTAGAGAGTAGAGCTCGTCGATCAGACTTGATCCACTCGATCTGGATCCCAAAAATTTTGAACTCAACAGATTGTATTAGAGCATCTCTCTCTCTGCTTTCGTGACTTTTGATCTTAGGATAGTAATGATAAAAAGAGCTGAAATTTTCACAATAAATTATTAACGCAAAAAATTTATCTCTGCATCAAATTTCGATATAATTCATTAAAAACTACATAATGCACATAGCCATAGTAGTAACTGAAAAAACAATTAATCAATTGTAAAACTTCATAATGTCAACTTATGTTTATACTTAAGTTACTCTCAAAATCTAAATCATGCCATAGCCAACAAATACTATTTTCCTATTATGTTTTACAATTTCATTCTCTTCAATATAGATGATAAAAAAATTAAGAGAAAAAACAAAACTAACCATTGCAAAACCGACATCAGCTGCTTTTAAAGCAGAAACATCCTTTGTTTCACTACCAATAGTAGCAACAAATTCTCGCATTGGATTGATTTTTGATGCCATAATACCTCTCACAAGTACATACTTATCTTGTGATGATGAACGAGCTAATACACGTAAATTTGGCCAAATTTTATCAAATAAATATTGTTCAACCTACAATTAAAAATAAAAATACGGATTTTAACAAAAAATTCTTTTTTTTTCAAAACTTTTCTTTACTTTTCCATCTGGTCTTGATCTTATACATTGATTAAATTCTTTACTCTCGAGTGCTAGATAATCATCATTTGCTGATATAATACCACATTTAAGTGCTATTGATCGAGCTGTATTAATATTATCTCCTGTAATCATTCGTACTGTTATACCAGCATTTCGACATTTAGCTATAGCATCAGGTATTTCAGGTCGTACAGGATCTTCAATACCAAATATACAAATACATGTTAATTGATCAACGACGTTAGCTTCATCATCCCAATCAGGTAAATCATCTGATGAAAAATCTCTGTATGCAATACATATTGTACGTAAACCATCACATGTCATTGGTTCAATAACAGTTTGTACAAGACAATCATAATCAACATTTGAAAATGGTACAATATCTCCATTATGATTTAATATTGTTTTACATTTTTTTAAAATAATTTCAAATGCACCTTTTGTATACATACGTACAATTGAATCAGGTCGTTGAATAACCGTTGACATATATTTTCGTGCAGACTTAAATTTATAAACATGAACGAATTTTTCTTCTGGATAATTTCTACGTATTTCATCATAATTTCCACCTAGAACACCAACAAAACCTAATAAACTACATTCAATTTGATTTCCAGCTTGTTTTGCTAATGTTTCATATTTTCTTGAAGGCTAAAGAAAGAAGAAAAACAGAAATAAAAAATTTTTCGTTATGAATTTTGTTTTTTTATGTTTTAAAAAAAATTGAATATTAGCTTACTAATTGGTGTGAAAAATAACTACTATTAACAGATACACCTTCAAATATAATTTCTTTTGTATTAACTGGAATAATAATTTCTTTAGCTTTAGCGGGATTTTCAACATTTGTCCAATGTTTTTCACCAACATAAACTTGTACAACAGTCATATAATTTGTTGTTAATATTCCTGTTTTATTAGAACATATTGTCGTTATATTACCAATTGTTTCACATGTATTCAAATGGCGAACTAAACTATTATCTATCATCATTTTCTAATAGAAGAAAAAATCAAAATCAAAGAATTATTTAATAAATAATAAAATTTGAAATTATTTAATTCTACTTTAGCAATATGCCTTAATGATAATGTTGCAACTAATGATACACTTTCAGGTACAATAAGGATGAACAGTGTTATACAAGTGATCAAATATCGTACAATGCGAGTCCAGTATTTATAACCCCATTCATTTCTATAGAAAATATTTGAACAGTAAATTGATGAAAAAAATTTTTTTCTTTTACCGTTGAATCAATTCTTCAATTGAAAATAAAACCAATAGAACAAGTATAGTTAAAATAATAATTATCATTCCTAGATGAAAAACAAAGATTTTTTCTTTTTTTTAGGTACAAATCAAAAACAAAATTAATTATCTCGAGAGAAATTCTTTAACTTTTGAAGATAATTTTAGAAAGAACTGAGACTAAAACTAAAGTTCATTGATGAAAATCAAACAAAAATTGGTATGAAACCTATTTGAAAAATTTTACCTGCATATCTAAATTGAATATTTAATTTTGCTAATTGTGTGTGTAAAACTGATTGTTTTTCCACTTTAAAACGAATAGGATCATCCTCATTACTTGTTTGGTTGGCATTATCAGGTATAACTTCTTGTGATGCACTTGCATTATGCTTATTAATAATTGCGTCTAATGCAAAACAAAAGAATTTTTCTTTTAACATTATCGAAAAAAATAATCATAAGCAAGAAGCATTTGTAATGAGTGATTTAGTAGTAATTATTATGTTAATATTAATATAGAATTAACGACAGTACAATAATGACAAATACCTTCAACCGATTCTGATTTTACTAGATGTTCACTAACGTCTGTATCGACAGTAGTATCTGAATATTTATCACAAAAAAGTTTAAGAAACATTTAAAGTTTAAAATAAAATCTACATGTCATACTTTGTTTTTTATTAGCATTTGTTCTTTTGTCACGATTATTTTCTTCTTTGATTGCGCCTAGTAACTTGAATATCGTTCCCATTTGACTATGTTCACCAACAGCCAAAACTAACATTTTACCACTACCTTCCACAATATTTGTACCTAAACAAATATTCAAAACAATGAATAATAAAATTTTAATTATTTATTTTTTATAAATAAGAAAAAAAAGAATTTATTAACCTGAAAGAAGAAATGGATCTCTTGATTCATTTTTTTTAATTAAATCTGAGTCCCCAGTTAAGGAGTATTCATCAACTTTAAGACCATTTGATTGTACAACAATACCGTCAGCTGGTAATACATCTCCATATTTAATTTCACATATATCACCAACAACAATATCTTTTATTGGAATTTGTTGTACTGTACTTTCTCTAATAGTATTACATTTTTGATTACGTTCAATCATTGATTGAAGAGTATGACTTTGTCGTTCATTTATCCGATCATTAAATGCTGTTACTAGAACAACAACCAATACAACAATAATAATTACTGCACTTTCAATCCATTCAACATTTGTTTTCTCTAAAATTAAAAAATATATATTTGAAAAATAAAACACTGTTCTTGATCTTTTTTTTTTATATTTTGATTATAAATTTACTTGTTTCTATTTTAGTTTCAAGTGTTTCTTCACTTGGGTGATAAAATGATAAGGCAAATGAAATGATAGCACATATAATAAGTGTAATAAGTGTCCAACTTTTCAAAGCATCACGCATACGACAAAGAAATGTTAGTGGTGATTTTTGTGGAATTTCATTACGACCAAAGGTAGCTATACGTGTTGATAAATCAATTTCCTTGCCAGATAAACCTAAACACAAAAATAATAGATTTCTTCGTTTGCTATTATTTTGTTTTGTTTTTACCGGTTATTAAATTTGTTTTGAGCTTTTGTTCAATACCACTAAGACCACCATGTATTTCCTTAAGTTCTTTAATACTTTCATGGCCTCGTGTTTGCATCAATTTTTCTAATTCTTGAATAGAAATTCCAAATTGAGGGTGTGCATCTTCAGAAGATAAATCATTATCATCGGCAGTGGAGTTTTTCCTTTTTGCCATATGTAAAACCTAATGAAATGTATGAGACAGATATTGGATTCTATTGATAGAATTTAATTGGGTAACTAAATGCTAGTAATGATATTTCGAAGAAGTTCTTCTATCGTTTCATATAAAGCAAGTACAAGCTCATGATTCATCACTTATTTAACATACAGTGACAGATAGATTTTGAAACAAAAAATGAAAAAATATTTTTAGGTTTAAATATTATATTCACTCATAAACAAAACTATTCTCTAATTGGAAAGTATTTTTATACTTTTTTTCTTATTATGTTATTGCACAACTAATGTAAAAAATATTTCATTCATGAGGTAAACAGTATCATGCTATTCATGATGTGCACGATTTACTTTCTATTGATTAGTTCAATGACAAGAAATGAACGAGATTATTAGCCAATGACTAGTCATCTGCCCATCTCTTTTCGTCCAACGAATCAACGGAAAGTAAATCTTCATACGAAAAAATTGTTTATTGGAAAGTTATTTTCATGTAATCAACGAAAAGTAAATTCGCGGTAAGTAAATGGTAACAGTCTAGAATGTCCTTTCGAAAATGTCCTCGGACGAAATGTCCTTTATTTTTTCGTCCTTACATATATATGTATGTGAGAGGACGAAAAAATAAAGGACATTTCGTCCGAGGACATTTTCGAAAGGACATTCTAGCATGTATTCAAGTAAATCGTGTAAACCATTATTCATATAAACAATTTTTATCAGTATAAGTCAACCTAAATGGTATATATTCTGTATATGTAGCACCTTACTTGAAACGTCTATACTGAAGAGAAAAAAATGCATTCAAACAAGTAAATCATGATATTTTTTTTCTTTTTGATCGTAGGAGAGCGATGTTGTTTTGATTTTCCCCCTTGCCTGTGCTGATTAGATCCCAATTCAAAGAATAAGTAACGACCAGGTAATTACAAAAAAGGTAAACGTAAAGGTAGATTCTTTAATATTGCATTTTATAATAAGGAGAAATAGTGGGTGACCCATAATAAATGACCGCGTTTTTCAATTTATTTTTTCATTATCTAATATGTTTTATTAACAAACAAAATAAACTATACGATACAGCGTAAAAAGCTCTACAATTTAAATACGAATGATTATTTTATAGTTGCATTTTTTTGTTTACAAAATGGACAAAATTTTGAGCGACTTAATTTCAACTGCATAAAAAAGATAAATATTTTAACATGGGAGGAATTAATTTTTTGTTTTTTTCATCATTTCATTCCCTGATATGCTTTCTCAACAGGGGAACAAAACATGGCACAAGATGCAGCGTGAAAAGCTCTACAATCTACAAAGTAAAACTTATTTTAATTGTATACTTTTTGTTTTCAACCAAAAGCAACATTCTATGTGACTAATTTTCGACATTGAGAAAAAACGTTTTTTTCTCTACACGAACGAAAATTGTTTTTTTTCTTTTTTTCATCACCTAATATGCTTGCATAGGAAGGAATAAAATGTACTACAAGACGCAGCGTGAAACACTACAATCTACAAAGAACAGTTTATTTCATATATGCATTTTTTGTTTTCAAAATCAGCGAAATTCTATATGGCCAATCTTCGGCGTGGCGAAAAAACCCATTCTGTTTCTACATGAACGAGAAATTCCTTTTGTCTTCTTTCATCTTTTTATCACGATCCAGATTTACAAATGGATGGTCGAAGTTGATTTGTTCTCTGTAAGATATTATGAGCGATATAGGCACATGAACTAAGTTAAATGAGCTGACAGGAAGAATTCATCGTTGCTTTTTTCCAATATTGATTGTTTCGAAAAAGAAAAGAGCAGCATTCCTGTGTCATGTGCAATTTTAAGATGTGGAAGAATCTCGAAGATGATTATCACACTCACTCTGATGAACAATCTGTGATCTGAGTCAATAGGTAAGACAATGTTGAAGTTTTGAAAATTGCTATTTGTTGATCATCAGTCAGATTTGAATAGGCTCTGCTTGGCATTTCAATAAAGATCCGAGGTAGGATCCGACATTCTTAGCTTAGAAAAAAACCTAGACAAAATCTTCAACAAAGTTTGAGAAGGATTCTGTTTAGTCTTGAGAAATCACGAAAACAGGAGCTACTAGGATTGGAGACAAGATCCTTGACATGCAGAACTCTGACAGATACTTCCAGGATTTCTAAAGAATAAACAGGATTACGACTAGATTCACTTAGCTTTTATGAATGATATTTTTGGACTGTTTATGCAAAGCAAAGCCATGACAACCTTTAGCCACACTCCCTAACATCATGCACCCTTGAGATGTCCAATTCCAGTTCATAGATCATCGATACTATCTATTGCTATGATTTATCTGTAGACAACTGTCACGTTTTTCAGGTGGAAAATATGAATGCATGAAAATTTTGTATTGTGCATACTGAGAGCATATCAGCTCAAGAGTCTCTCATCTTTTTCGTCTGATAGCTGATTGTATTCTACATAATATTCTTTGAACAGCTGAAGGAGCTATCCTTGCATTGTCTCCATATAATATTCGATGCTTTTTTTTTTGCATAAGATTTTTCATCTGTTGCTCTTTTATCACTAGTATTTATCTACTTGCCGCTTCCGATCGTTTCTTGGATGGATATGTGAATGTGGATGTGACTGTTACTTTTAATATTCTCTACTTTCATCTGTACACCCTGAATTTTTGTTCTGAAAAAGTTTGCTTTTCAGATTAATTATATTTTTGAATTATTAAAATCATCTCGCTATACAGTGCAATAGATTCATGGTCTATAAAATCGTTTTGTTAGCTTTAGCTGGTTGTGTTTTTTTCGATTCAATAATGTACGTGGTACATTATCATTAACACATAAATTATCAGATAATGAGTCTTTCATGAATCGTTTTGATGAGTAAGTTTTAGAAATCAGGATGTAGGTGCGGGATAAGAATAGAGAATAGTAACAGTAATACTCACATTCGTCCTTACGCCCGACACTCACACACACGTACACCTATGATTCCTATCCATCAACGCCTGAACCCACTCCACACCCATGCTCTAACTTTTTCTCTTCATTCGCACAATTTCTTCATAAATTATACCTGACGTCTGACCAAGTGTAAAATGCATTTTTGGATTGTTTTTATTCTTTTTTTTTGTATACCGTTAAAATACCTTGTCAAAACCTTTTTCAACCGAGTAACGTGATGATCTCAATTCTCACTTTTTTATTAAATTGATATAAAGTGTTCTTATTCTCAACAAAGAAAAAAACGTAGTTCGCCGTTTTGGTATTATTTGCGGCAGCGACACGAAATACAGCAGCTATTTCAAGGCAATGAGAACGTATTTGTTTGTCTGTTTCTAAGTACGATAGTATAGAGTCTTGTCATTTCCAACATAAAATCATTGCTGATAACAAATGAGTTAAGAATCATAAGTACTCCTCCTAGAATTTACTATAGCGACGCACATCATAGAATTTATGGCTCAGTTTTTCGACTGCTGCTTCTGAATATAACTCCGTTTATGTGTGAAAGTGAATTCGATCAAAAGAATGTACAACAACTTATATTGATCGTTACGAAAGACATTTTATCTTTCAGGTTTCTTCTCAAAGTCACTTTGTGTTAAAAAAAGTGTTGGAAAGCTTTTGTAAGCTGTTCAGTTTTTCTTCAAATTTGCTAGTATTGTGTTTATTCTAACTTCGGTTTCACGGCTGGAAAGCATATATGATAAATTCGAAGCAGATCTTCAGCAAATCGTGTTCATTGTTTTAATAAGAGTTACTTTGTTCTCGATCTATTCTTACCTCTTCATGAAAGACAAAGCAAATACATTTGTTTGAAGCTTCTGAAAGTCTTTGAGATGAATCCTTAATCGAATATATGTTAATAGCAGAAAAACTCATTTCCCTTGCCAGTGTTTCAGAACTACTTTCTTATGTTTAACTAACTTTTCAACCAACCATTCGCTAGGTATTTCGATGCGTCGATTTTGGCTTCCGTTGGGCATTGAACTTTCAAATCGACCCCTGAAAGTGCCATTCTCAGATGGGTCGAGGGCTCGGTGATAGGTTGTTTTTACTAGCAATTTTCAACCACTCGAATAATCGTTTCCGCTGGATCGGAATTTCATCGAAAAAAAGAATTTTTATCCGATAGATCTCTCAACATCGAGTTGTCCAGATCCATCGTATATAAATTTCGAGTCGTCGAAACCTATCGAATATATGCGGAGAAGTAGATTTGAACATGGGTACTTACGATTCACTTTCGTCGAACAGTTGAGCTAAATATGAACTATTATTCGTATATCAAAACGACATTTTTAATTCATAAGAAGATAGTACTTATTGTTTTTCATACTTTTCTATTTTATTTTTTGAAAACTGAAAATAATACTTTTTGTCCAAAGAGAAAATCTTCTTTTAAACATTAGAAATAATATTTTTCATCCAGAAAAAAGATTATTTTTTGAACACTAAAAATTATATTTTTTTTATCGAGAAAAATTTTTTTATCACGAAAAAAATTTCATCAAGAAAGAAAACTTTTTATATCTCTGTAAGTGACACAAGAACTTTTTTTTATTTACGATTCCGTATAAATTACTTATGGAATAAATATGACGTGCGATATGCGATAATCGATCAATTTGCACGTGAAAGTATGAGGTCAATATTTAGTAATTTTTTTTTAAATACACAACGTGGACATTCATTATTGCTGCCGTCGTCAAAAACGCAGGCGAATTTTAGTTTTAGTTTCAATCGGTGGACGATAAATTTTGATCAGAAAATTCTGAAATTAAGGTGAATTATGAAGCAAACTCGAATAAGGGGTGTGGGGTGGAGTGTGGGGGTGGGTATGGGTGTAAAAATAATCCATATCGACGCTTATACCCGCACTCACACCCACCCGCCCACACCCACATCCACACCCACACTCACCCACACCCCACACCTACACCCACACACCCACCCACATCCACCTACACCCACACCCCGTTGTTTCAATTATTTATGTTTCGAAAAAATGTTGGCTGGATGACCAAATACGATAGAATAGAGGATGAAAACCGAAATTTTTTAATCGAAGTACTTAATGAATAATGCCATGGCACTATAATATTTATATTTGCAGTAGCTGTTGGCTCTGCTACACCAATGATGATTTACAAGTGTGACTGGGATCATGTACCGCACCTACAGACTGCACGCATCTTCTTTGTTTTTTTTTACATTATTGTAGGGCTTACAGTTTATGTACTAGCAACCCTGTTGTTCTTGATTAGTTTTGCACGTCGTATACGTCGATACGGTATAGAAAATGGTTCGTTTATAAAAGCATTTCTCAAACTATTACACACGCATTTATTCATTTTTGTACCACCGATTGCTTATGCTATCGGATATATTCCCTATACTATTGCGGTCAACACCAGTAATCCTAAATATTCGTATTTTCCATGTGGTATTTCAACTGAAGAATACATTATAAGAGTCATAATAGAAACAATGCAGGGAATACCAATTGTTGTTACATGGTTACTCTTCATCTATCCGTCGAAAGTGTATATGACCGAGTTTTATATGAATACATGGTCCGGACAACATTTAGCTAAAATTTTACTCTTCTTCAAACGAAATGATGCTAAAATAAAGAGTCCGTCTCCTACTACTACAAGTCTCATAAATAACGAACACGATAATAGAGAGCTACATTGTGCAAATTAATAATTAAGAGATAATTATTTCTTATCGTATTCTATATTCGACTGCTTTTGCTTTATCTTTCTCATCATAATAAGATTTGAGTAATTTAGTTTGCTTCCAATTTTTATCTTACATGATGATTGTGCAATAACAATCAATTCTAACTGTACACTATGTATTTCACAATAAACAAGAGCAAAGCGAAACTCTTTCAATTCTTCATAGCCTGAATGGGAGTAGATGTGGGTGTGCTTGTAAACGATAGGTAAAACAAAACTGATAACTATGCTCACATACCCATACGCATCCACACAAATCCACATTCCAAAATACAAGTAATTGATAATGTTTTTTAATATTTAATCAATAGTTTTTATTATAAAAAAAACATTACAACAAAAATCTTTTACCATAAATGTTTTTGAAAGCGGCCTTAATTAGCTTGTGATATTCTGATGTATAGTTTTTCTATCATTTCATCTAAAGTCTTGCCAGAATCAGCTGGTTTCTAGGACGAATTTTTCGAAACCTATTAGATTCATGCACGTTAACGGAGTCATGTTTTGAAAACGTATCATAATACAATCCAATTCGATCTAACAAATAAGTGATTAGTCTTAGGTTCTATTTTGTCCTCATACTCATCCTATTCATCAGATGAGCTGTTGAGATCTATATGTAAGCATTCGAATAGTATATGGTTTAGGTCATCACATATTAAATTTTCAAATGACACTTGGTCATGAAATGAAGTTATTCTTTTCGATATAAAACTATTTAAAGTGAATAAGATAGACTTTTCAAATATTGGTTATTCATGAACGATAATGATTATTTTTCATGTGAGAGCTCGTTGTTTTACACATCATATATTTTGCATAAAAATATTGGTTTGAGGAACTCAAAATACAAAAATTAGATCGACAGAATCCGAGGATTGAAAAAAAACACAATTCAATGTTTACAACTATTCATTGATTCTTTTTCTTTCAGATAATGTTTTTTTTCAGTTTAGTAAATATATTTCTAACTTCTGCTTGAAATATAACTTCAGACCATGTAAACTTGTGGCTGGATGCTTTTTCAACGATGTTCGTGGAGTATAACATTCATTTAGAAGTGTATAGTAAAATTTTAATGATTTGCTGGAAAACTCTCTTTCACATCGTAAATGATGGTGTAAATATCAGAAATGATCGATGGCAAAAAAAAGAAACATTTGACAAAATTTCTTACTTATTAGTTAGAAACAGGTTGTAATTATTCTTCAACTTTTATTATCATCGTTGAGTAAGATAATCTTTTCAAGATTTTGTTACAACCAGTTTCTTTTTCTGTAGTTTTGAAGCGATTGGTTAAAATAGATTAGTAATGCAGAAATATTACAGATACGATTAGATTAAAGACAAAGCAAAATTTTTATACTATATCCATTGGAAATATATTTCAAGATATGACAAAATTTTGCTAGCAAAAAGCTCAATTTATTTCTCTACCATTGTCAATAATCCTTCACTCTTACAATAGCCACACCTATTTCTTTGATTTTAGTTACGGTGAAAAATAATTGTTGGTACCAGTTTGGACTCTCATATTTACATGATTGGTTTCATATTGCTTATGTTTACATATGATTTTCGAACAGCTAAAGTTCCATTTGAAAACATATAACCTAAACAAATGAATAGAAAACTTCCATTTGAACCAAATATTTTTTAAAGAAAGTGATTGATGAAAAAGACATGATGTTTCTGATGTCCTGTAATGTATGTAAACTGTTATAAGGTGATCAGGAATTGTTATTTTAGTGAAAAATGTCAATATGTGACATTCTAGTATTATTTATAGAACGTAATCCATACCAATCGATGAATAAACAATTTGCACAATGCTGGTCTACTGTTGTGTATCATGTCGTTTACAATTATTGCATCACCACTGCGTCATTTTCGTAATATTGCATCACCAAAACTAAAATAATAAGAAAACGATAAAATATCGTAAATATTCTATATTGAAAGAAGTCCAAGAATGTAAGAGAAAATATGAACAGCATTCTAGAGGCACATTAAATTATGTGATGGTGAATAGATTTAGCACGAAAATGTAGCCGCAAATAAAGAATGTATGTTTGAAAATGTTATTCTGTTCTTTCATCACATTAACAAGACTGTGGTTAAAGTGAACAAGAACTCTAAGCAAGCATCTTAATAAAAAGATTCGACTTGTTGAGTGAAAGAATCTCCCATTATACGATTCTCATTGCCTCTATAAAGATGTCCATATTTTTTCTGAATTCTTTGAACTTCTTCAAACCAGATTCACGAGTCTCTGATATGTTTAGATTACAATGGCACTTGATTCAATTCAACTCCCAAAGATCATTACTAATCTAGAATGGCTAGAAGCTCGCGAACTTTTACAAACAAAATTTGATCTAGCAATTGATGAAACTGACAAATTGTTTTGTGCTAAATATGTACATGACAGTCATTTATGGAAACATGGTACAGAAGAACAAAAACTTATATTAACACAGAATCGTGGTGCAATCTATGAAAAGAAACCTCCATATTGTTTAGTTTGTTTACCATTTTATAAATTTTGGAATTATAATGAATCATACGCTCCTACTATGACTGGTCATTGGAAATCTTTTACCGAAAAGTTAGATGGTTCATTTTTTAAAGTATACTATTTTCAAAATGAATGGCATATCAGTAGCAATAGTCGAATTGATATTAAACAATTTCGACAAAAATATATTCGTTGTGGTAAAACAAATGAACAATTATGGCAAGAAGCAGCAACAGAAGCTGGCCTTGATTATTCGAAATTAAATAAAAGATATGCATATTTTTTTGAACGTGTTCATCCAGATTATAAAATTGTTATACCATATGATAAACCAATGTTGTATCATTTGGGTACTCGTGATATGTTGACATTGAAAGAACTTGAAATTGATATTGGTGTACCAAAACCACGATCATTTCAGTTTTTAGACTTAAATGAGTGTTTACAATATGTAAATAAAATGCATTTCACGGAAGGAGAAGGTATTGTAGCATGTGATATGCAAACCTATGATCGTATTAAAATTAAAAGTCGTTCGTATTTAATAATTCATTATCGCACAGTTGGCATGGAAAATGAACATAAACAAGGACAATTCTGTTTAATTATTTGGTTGCAAGGTGAAAAACAAGAATATTTAAATTATTTTCCAGAATATATTCCCGAATATGATCAAATTGAAAAAAAACTCGAGAAATCAATTATTCCAAATTTAATCAACGAATTTACAAAGTTTTACAGAAGTGATAAGAAAGAGTTTTTCAATAATCTTGATCGTGAATATCCATCATCAGGAAAACCAGATCAAGACAGAAAAAGACAAATCTTCATTAAATTATTTCAACAATATCAAAATGACAAATGGTCTCAGTTAGTCGATGAACTAAAGTTTATAGCTGTACGAACTATTTTGAGAGAAAGAAATACGAATAATAACGAAAAATTCATTTTTGAAAAATATCTTCGTTCATTAATTACAGTGTAATATTTCCTTCAAAAGAAAAAAGAATTACATGAATTCTCTTTTAATATTGATGTCAATGTTGATATTAAATAGTAAAACAAAAACAATACTACTTCAACATAGCTGAAACAAGTGAAATATCAAATGTGATACAGTTGCATTCAAAGAAATTTCTATTCAAAGCACACTGTATCAAGTTCGACTATCTAATTGGCGTGGTAAACAATATATATGTTGTCATATACTGTGTATTTTGAGGATCCGAAAGAAATAATCGACATTACTAAATTATTTAAGGCATCTGCATGAGTTTTTCTTAAAAGTAGATTCAAACCAATATTCACAACAACAATCGCAAATCGAGATGTCTGAAATCTTTTTATAAGTTAGATATGAATGTATAGAGGAGCCCACCTACACCTTGAGAAATGCCTCTTCAAATTACAAATATTTGATTGTACTATATCAAAACACATAGAGAAGTACAAATAACATCATCAGTCAATTTAAGTAAAAATCACGAGTATTAAAACAAAAAAAAATACGGTTCAATTGTTATCATTCTGATCATCGATTTAATGGAAAACATACTGAATCGAAAATTGGTTGATTGGAAATTTCGACAATTTTCGAATTCCATTGTAGTTTCGAAAAATTTTAAAATTCCAATGAAGTTGAGATAATACTGTCGAATTTCCACTATTGCTCAAGCTCATAAGAAAATTATAACAATATCCATTTATTGCCGGAAATGTTATTGTTCAAATTGCAATGGTATTTGGTGTGTGAATATTTATTATTAGCGTCATATTAGTTTAGAAACAAGGATATCTCTGTTTCTATCAAACATTACAGTTCCAGCTATTGTGAGTATTATCCGAATTCGATCGAAATTTAGACAATCAAATTTCTAACAATAGATGATATTATTATATTACAATGGAATTTGAGCATTATTGAAATTCATATGACGAAATTTTAGTTGGTCAATTCGCATTATTTCAAAGAAATTCGTGTGGAATTACTTTTGAATTTATGAGCAATCGTCCAATGACTGTACTCCTGGCTATGCTACTGCAATGGATCATTTGCGTTGGAGGTGAACAGGGTGTTTCAAGTCAAAAGCGTGTGCCGACGTAACAAAATAGTTCAAAGTATGTAGAATTAGTTTCAAGTTCATTGAAGTACTTTTAGGTAAAGTAACTTATTTTAAAATAGTTTTCTATTCAATGTGCGCTGTTTCCTCTTGGAATCCTTTATGCTTTTTCTTTTTCTTGTAAATAAATCATTGAAATATTTACATAAGACTATAATTTATATTTCTCTTTTTTGATTTATACATGACTATCAATTACTTGTTGATATTAAAAACAAAATATAAACTTAGAGTTAATTTTATATTTGAAAAAAAATAACCATCATTATTTACGAATAAACATAAGAGAAACTATTCATAAAAATCAAACATTACTTTTTGGTTGATATTGTATACAATTATGGATCGATTCTCTTGATACTAAGATCTCTTTACTATTGAAAGAGCTTTCTAAAATACTATACATTGATTTAAACAGCACATAATCATTTAATTAGAACACCTCTCACAAGATATTTTATTTCAAAACGTTTTGTATTTTTCCCTCGGAATCTCGATGTCCATTTTGATATAAAATAGCTTTCAGATGCAGGATACCTATTCAGAACAGTACCTTTCCTATAGTTCAATCAAAATATGTTATATACTGGAAAAGATAGACCTGAATGTTTGAATATATACAATAAATCTGAAAAAATAAATTCTTGTAATATTTTGCTCATCATGTTCCAACGCTGCAAGGTGCTCTTACTGCTTTAATTACTATCATTCTTATGATGTTTGTCTGATATGTTCATCTGTGAGATTAGCTTCATTGATATGGGTTATATGAGATTGAAACATAGCGCTTTACATGTAGTATATTTCTTATTAATATCAAATCAAAGTACTATTTGAAACAGAGCATAGTATTCTAGAAAAACCTCTTTCAATAGTTACAGACATTCGTGCCATCAGTATAGATCTATAATCATATACAACATCAACTAAAAAGTAATGTTAGATGTTTTTAAATAATTTCTTCTATTTTTCTTCATAAAAAATAATGATTATTTTGTTTCAAATGAAAAATTAACTATAAGTATATATTTTATTGTTAATATCATCAATCAATTTATAGTTATATAATATTTACTTGGATATATGTAACTTCGATACGATATATACATTAAGTTGTGTTAGATATACAAATAATGAACTCTAGAAAACTATACTAGATTATAATAAATTACATCACAAACGATAGAAAAGTGAAAATATCGAGAAAAATTATGATCAACGACCGAAATAGCCGACCTTTCTTTAACAAAACGGATTCAACTCAGAGTAATATTCACTTATTGAATGTCATCTTATCGATAAATAGGTAGACAAGCAAGTTATCTACATTGATAGATCATATCAGAGACTGATGGAACAATAAAAACTGCTTCGTCAAGAGCCATCAAGAATTTTCTAGTGACTGTCTCGTGTTTCGCCTAGAAATATTTAATTCCATTTCATTTCGTGAACATCTTTTCTACAAAAAGATCAACGTCATACATATATGTTAATTTCTTTCTTAACCGAAAAAAACATTGTCCAATCAAAGAAAGTCTTGAGAACGGAATGAGCAACAATACACATAAGTGATTATATATTTAAAATCTCCATTTCAGACAAAGTTTTGTTATTTCATCAGACGTATCAGGCAGAAATAAGATTCAGTCCTGCCTATTTCATTACTTTCCGACTAACATGCTATCCTCTATCGTGACAAGACGAGATTGATCTTGTGTTTCATCATTCTATCGATAATCTTTCTCATTAGGCAGAAAATTTATTTCTTCGTCTATGATGAATAGATAAATATTGACAACACAGTAGAATTGTTTCATTTAAAAAAAAAATGTGTGACCATTTCGATTGGGATAACAATGGTAAAAAACTAACGATTTCACTTCGTAATTGTTCACATGAAACATGTGTAGCACTCACTCAACCAACTTATTGGCAAGAAGTAAGTTTTGAAATTAATCATAGGATAATATATTTTTATTCTATAAAAATATTATTTAGTTAACGAAAGATACATCGATTTCAATATCAACAAATGGAAAGTTTGTTCCCAAAGAATTGGAAGAAATAATTGATTATGATAATCCTTCAAGACTTCAACTTATTATTCAGACAGAACATGAAAAAGACAAACAAAGATTACAAGGTTTTTTTTTTTTTTTTTATTTAATAATTCTATTAATCGTGAATGAACTTTTCTATTAAGACATTTCTTGGATAATTTATCATCGATTTTTTGCTTATCCATGTGAGGAACCTAAACAATGGGAAGAGGATGTATGTAAATACTAAGTGTCATTGATACATGAATTTCTTTTACTTATATATTTAGTATGATAATAACAAAATAATAGTCTACGGATCTCTGTATAATTCTCTTTCTATGTTAAGATTTTATACAAGTCAACGTTTGTTAGGCACATATGTTTGTATTAATTAGATTTATAATAATCGATATTCGATGAAAAAAAGATTCTATTTTTACTTTAGAATTCTAATATAATAGACATTGAAAATCGGTTGGGAATTTCAATTACTATTGATCAAACTTTGCCAAACTTTTATCGTTTTTTAACTCGGTAAGTATAAAAAGAGAAGATTTTTTTGATGTTCAATTATGTGTAACGAGTGATTGAAAAGTAAGTGAGTGAAAAATGTTCATGCCTTTTTTTTCAATTTGTTAAAGAAGCTGTAGAAATTTCAAAAACATTAAGTTAGAATCGAAATTTTGTATTCTTTTCTAATAAAGGTTCAACAGTTTTAGAATCATTATTCAAGAAACCGCTGAGTTAACTTTACCAATCTGTTTTTCCCTAGAAGTCAAAAGAGTTGCCTATATTGACACGATATTCCTTACCAAAATACTCTTTGTTGACCAATGACTGGCAGCAAACGAATAATTAGCATAATATTTTTGATAGAGAAATCTGTGCTCTTACATTCGTTCTATTTGAAAGAATTTTCATTTATACTTTCTATAATTTTTTTGGTACACTAAAGTTTGTCCAAACTTGATTTATGGACTTCTGAAAGGTTGGCTCATAATTTCTAAATCAAAAGTACGACAAAAATGTAGAATCCATATCCGAAAAGAATACAAAGTTCTGATACAAAACTAATGCTATCAAATATGTGTAGACTCTTTTGAGAGGCTTAAAAATCAATGAACATTTTGTCAAATTACTTTTCGATCACCTTCGTTATTTAGACACATTTTCTCGAACGTAAGAAAAAGAAGAATTAAAAACAAAATTTCATTGGTTTATTCTAGTAACATAGATAAGACTATTATCAACGTTTTTATTCTTCTTATTGAAACTCTTGTGAAAAAAGCTCAAAATGAATACTTAATTGCATTTACTTTTCGTTATGCACCACCTATAGTAAGATCTGTCATTCAAGTGAAAGACTTAAATCAACGTGCAAGATTACCATATACGGAAAGCTATCAACGAGTGAGTATATAATATTTGATTTCTCTTAATATAGTTTAAAATAAATTTTTCATAGAAACGAGATGAGCAAGATGAAAAACAATCGATAACAAACAATACGAGTAAGTTATATCAATACGTTAGAATATGAATTGTTTTCTTTTGCTTATTCTAGAACGATCAAAAGCTGATTCGAATCAGAGTACCAAAGATGAAATAACTCCTGAAGAAAAAATTTGTCAAACTGGCCATTCTGATTTACATATTAGTTAGATTTATTTCTTCCATATCTAATGATATGAAACATGTTACTGCTTATGTAAAGACATTCAGAAAACTTTTTTTTCACGCCTAATTATAATACTGTATTAGATGAATTTGTATATTAGTTTGATAATTATGTGATTCTAATGATGCGTGTATATAAAAGTTTAACACTATTGAAAAAAATATATGAAGTACACCAAATTACTCACGAAAAGAAAAACTTTGAATAAAATCGTGGTCAAACGCGATTTCTGATGCTACGGTTTTCAATAACTCAAATACCGTGTCGAAGTCAAGGGGAAAAAGCGAGACTCATCCTACTCCAAAAAAAAATTGGAGTACAACTGGAGCAGAGGTGGAGTACGTACTCTAGGAGGCTCCCTTTTCCCCCCATGGTTCTTAATCAAATTATGTTTGTATTTTTATTTCATTAATCATCCGTCTTTTGCTATATATCTCAAACAACTTGATAAAATATTTTTCAATGTCCCTTAGATTATATTTTCCATAGAAAAATCTGAACTATTTACAAAAGAAAATTGACTGAAAGAAATTTCGTATTTAAGCAGTAATTACCAAAATAGGGATGTGGGTGTAGTGTATAGGGATGCAACATTGACGATAACCGTACCTACGGTTATTGATCCGATTGCGATAATCGTAGGTACAATTATTGGTTCAAACCAATTGTCACGAAAATAGCATTTTTTAAGAAAATAATGATTTTTTTATAAAGTTGACGAAAGTAAATCGGGATCGAGAAATCCGAACACGATATCAGTTTTCTGAAATTTTGAGTTTGAATTTTCCACGAAAGGATCTCTTTCTGAAAGTTATGATTTTCTTAAAAAACTTTTTTCACGAAAAAATCATTTTTCTTTACAAAAACTACTTTTTTCTAAAAGAAAATTTATATGGAAAAAATGAAACTCAAATTTTTGAAAAACTGATATCAGATTCGAATTCCCCGTCTCCAGTTCACTTTCGTCAACCTTTATAAGTAATCGTTATTTTCATAAAAACTCCTTCGCTTCACCTTAAAAATTGAGTTGAAAATTCTCAAAATTTGACTTCAAATTCGGGTTCTCCGATTCGGATTTACTTTCGTCAACCTTTATAACAAATCATTATTTTCTTAAAAAATGCTGCTTTTCGTGACAACCAGTTTGGACTGGTGAAACGGCGACGGTTAACCGGTGAATGATCGTCACCGTTGCATCCCTAGTAGTGTAGTGTCGTGAAATAGAACACCCACATCCACACCCATACCCAGAGAAGCTGGTTTTAAACAACATTTTAGTATACGAAATACCGTCGACAGAAATAGGACGTCAATTCATCTTATCTGACTTCACACGTGGACAACCAAGGGTTTGTATTTCTTTGTTTGGTAGAAACATCAAAGTGACAATAACTCGAGATGATTCTTATCTTTGCTATACTGCAAGACTGAATTCATTTAAACATTCATACAAAAATGCCCTTCCGACAGTAGATATTTTGATTCAAGATTTATTTTCAGATGTCTTATTCATATACGGTCAATGATTTCGATGTAGTAACGTTTAGATCTTTGAAAAGCGATTCTGAACGTTTTATTTCTGCAAAGAATTGGATTCTATCAATGTCGGAAATAATAGACAAAGAGAATGGTATTGATTTCTGGCATTGGATAGAAAAAAACGATGAATTATCAATGAAGGATCAAAACAATATAACGAATACATTTTTTTTCTTTTTTCACAACAAACCAAATCAAATAGTTGCTACTGGAAGTATTGTTCGAGATGATCGAGATATGGGTAAGAAGTTATCATTAGCAGAAGCTATTTGGATTGGAGGAATCAATGTTCATCGTGATTTTCGTGGACAAGGCATTGGAATAATTTTATTTGCATATATCGATAATTATATCCAAAAAATGATTAAAACTAATATCACTGTTGATTTATTTACAAATAATTTAAAAGCCAAACATATTTATAAACGATTTGGTTTTAAATCGAAAGGCTTTATCCAAAATGATTCAATCATCGAGAATGATCCAGAAGTAAGTTAATAAATCGAGTCAGAACACTTGAATATTAGCTATTGAAGAATATTAGTCAAGCACTATAGAGTCAGGTTTTTCTCCTTGTACCACTGTAATATGCGTGCTATACGAAAGAAAAACCCGGATAAAAGCATCTTATGTGAATTCTACAGATACTAGTAAATGTACTGCTGCACTTGGCAGAGATGGTACCGATCCGATTCCATCTTTGGTATCTAGACAATGCAAATTACATGACTTTAATGAAAATTTTCGCACAGAAGAACAATAAAGGAAATAAAAAATATTCGTGTTTCAAATAATTGAAACGGACATTTTTTGATATTAGGAATCTTTTATTAACTGAAGAATCGAGACCGGCAAATTTTTTCGAATCGAGAGCAAAAACGGCTGGTCTTGTTCATATCTATAGCGCAGTTACTATTTGGCACTTGATGAAATCATATTCAAAGTTATCAACAGCTCTTTGCTATCCTAAAACTATGTAATTTGTAACATCTAAAATGAATCATAGGAGAAGATCAATGATATTTGATGTCTGTACACAGAGTTTAGCATTTATTTGAAGGAGATGAACATAATAATTATCTTTGGCATACCATCTTCTTTTCGTTAGATTCAAGTGTGATATAAAATTACAGATCGATTTTTTGAATTATTCATTTTAAGAATTTGATTTGATTCTCGATTTTTATGGAAATAGTTTGAGACACAAAAATCAATATGACCTCTTTCTAAGATATAAGACTTTTAGAAAAGTACTATCTTAGCTTACAGTTATACATTGATCGCGGCAGAAAAAAAGTCAACCTATTAGCAAAGTAGTCTAACAATAGGGGAAATGTTCTATTGTATCTAGCCAAATATATCTTCAATATTTTGTATATAGGATACGTTGGATGAACTCTTCGAAAAAGATTACACAATCAAATAATAACTCTTGATGATCAATGTCATGAAAACAACGATCTATCAGCCTGTTCATTCGATTCAATAATCACTAATCAACGACAAATCATGGTCTATGATGCAAAAATCATTAATAACCATTTTGTTTGTTTTTTCAGATTATTTCGTCAGAAGTCGATATATTTATTTATAAAAGGCAGTACTAGAAATGAATAAAAAGAAATCGTAAATTATTTTAGCAACTTACTCAATATAATTAATTATGTTGTCATACCAGTCTTAGAGAAGAAATGTCGAATTCCTATTCCAAACTTCCTCAGCAATGGAAAAGCGAATGAACGGCATTAACAACAAAACTTAAACTATTCTACGTACCCACACAGATCATGCATTGATTTCTTACAGTCGTTATATAGTCAATATAAAAGGCATGAACTTATCAAGTTAAAACTTTAAAAAACACTCAATACCTATTTATCAGTCATATCAATAGTTTGGATAATAATGCTAATAAATTAAGAAAATCGGAATAGGAAAAAGAAAAACAACGAGCAATTAATAAGAAGATAAACAAGAAAAAAAGTTCTAACTCGAAGTGTAGAAAGAAAACATGTGAGTTCCACACATCAACTTCTTTTTTTTTTAGAAAGTATTTCGTCTTTCAGTTTTGGGGTCATTTATTTCACTATTTGCAATCTATTATAGTCAAACATGAAAGTCTTTCTTCTCTTGTGTTGCTGCTTCTTAATTTTGTCTAATACAAATAGAAGAATAAATTATTCAAACTTTAGAATAGATTTGATGTTGAACCACGTCTCACAATTATTTATTAGAATCTTCTAATTATTTGGATTAATATGATTAAAATTAATAAAATCATAGAGTTTATCAAAATAAAATGGTCATGTATATTAATATTGCAACTAATACTGTATAGAGATAAAATTGTTGAAATTGAATATGATTTTACTTTTGTTTTTTCCTCTTTTATGTTCGATCATAGTAAAAGCATGTGTTTTTGTGTGCAAATATGAGACTCAACTGAATTATTGAAATGAAAAATCATTGATTTGATAGTTTGTCAATTTTCAATATGATTTAACATTGTCGTTTATTAAAGACAATCGAAACATTCATTGAATAGTTATTATAATTAACACTAGATGAATTAACCACATTTGCTTTTCATGTTCATCATTGTTTTAATAATATACATACATGAAAAAAAAGGAAAAAGAAAATATTATTATTTAATTTAACTAGTTATTCATTGTTTAGCAACATTTCATTCATTTGCACTTCGACTAATTATTGCACATGAAATATTTTCATCATTTTTTTATCAGTATACTTGTTATTTGACTTTATTCCATTCATGTATATATAAAAGAATGCGATATATTTTCATTGTTGATTATCTATCTATTTGAATAGCTCGTTTTTTTTTGTTTTATTGTTACATCATTGAATTTAATGAGTATACTTCTTGTATTTGTTTTATAGCATCATTTTCATATTTATCCTACTTTACATCAGTTAACCATTAAGGTGTTGTGAATATTTGTTTTTGATGTTTATCATCAATGTATTATCGAACAAATCTTTCTTATCATGTTATCTTATCATAAATATAGAGCATTGGCAATAAGAAATAAAATGTTCTTATTGCTTAATTTATTCCATCCATTGGATGCATTACGAAAGAAAAGAAAAAAAAATATGCATTCGAACATATAACATGCATGCATGATACTTTTTTATTAAAAAAATTTGATATATATATTCATTTGTTCGAAGATTTCGTGTATAAATAATGTCAAAAGCTACTTTTATTATACAAATTGCTTCTGTACCTGGTAATCAAGTTGGTCAACGACGATTTGAACAATGTCGTTATTTACATGATTTACTTGTGAATACATTAATTGATCGAAAAGAACAAATAAAAGAATTATCTAAATTATTTCCTCAACATAAAATTGCTCTTCGATCAGGATTTTCACAAACAGCACAATGGGGTCTAGAACCAAATATGTTTATTGAAGTAAGTAAAATTTTATTCGAGGTCATAAACTTTCGTTTTCAATATAGTGAAACTTACATATCTTGATTAACTTCAATATAATAATACAAAATATGCAAAAAATAAAAATTCTCTAACAGACTTGATTTATTTGAATCGACTATTATTATTCTAATCTTTGATTTAAATAACAAAAGAAGTTATTATACTCATTCATTATTTATATAACAGATCTCAACACTCTATTATGTAGCTCGATAAACTTAAAAAATACAAAATTTATTTCAATCATTTGAATTTTCTAGAAGTATTGTCGCGCAGCGCATCCTTCTTCGTTGTTAAGGAACTATGTAAAAGAGGTCTAGTGCCTACTATTTTAAACTCTGTTAGAGAAAGATTCATACTCAATAACCTTCGATTAGCGATTAATTCTGTATTGTTTTACTTTCGACACTTTTTTTTTTCAAAGAATATTTTACAAAAAATTCAGAAAATTAGACTTATTTAATAACATTAGAATGAAGTAGAAAATTTTCAAAAAGACCAACAAATATACAGTGGTTTCAAAAATCTAAACGAAAAAAAAGAAAACATGAATAGCTTCTCCGCTATCTAAGAGAGTTTTTTTGTAAATAGTTTGATTACATATTCATTAAAGTTTTATTCAATATATTTCAGATAAAATCTCTGCATCTAAAGAAGTCAGACATAAAATAGTGTCTATATGACTCTTATTCATAGAACTGTGAAACGAATTGTACTTTGTATGGCTTTAATAAGAGATGTTTCATCATAATCCAGTATATATTATTGTTTATGGTAATGAACAAGCTTCGACAATAGACCAAATATTTGATCCTGGCTCATTTTTACAAGCATTCTTAACTTCATTGACTTTTTCGGCAATAGCTACTCTACAGTTTTCCAGAATGTGAATGATTTTCGACAGTATCTGTTTCACAAAATCACTGAAATGTGATTTTAAGATAGGATTCAGTCGATATGTTTTTATCGAATTCGATCATCAAATAAAACTATTTAATTATGCCTTCTTTAGTCATAGGCAATGGAAAAAAGTATATAAATTTCAATCCTTTTATTTGATATTTTGGACTTCAAATTAGAGTTCGGTAAGTTCTGATTTGCAAGCAGTGATTCAAGTTCGATATATCTTAATGGAAAAGATATACGATGAAAACAATAATTATTTTTCCGGTTTTCCACTATTTAAATGCTTTAACCTCTAAATTTGGTTAGAGTATGATACTTCCAAGAGAAAACTTTCAAGACAAGCAGTTAACATTTAACCGATATTTTCTATGTTGAGATATTCTCATCTGAAAAAAAACAAACAATATCTACATTAATTTTTCATCTCCTACACATGATTAGTTTTCATGATTAGAGTTTAACATACTCTATTTGTGATTAAATGATCAGACTAAAGAGTGAAAGTTCAAAATTTATTAATTTACAAGCAGAACTTTTAACAATCACTATACTATAATATTGATAATACACATATTAATGAATAAAATTTTTGTTTTAAATTAAAGTAATTTTATATTTTAATTTCATAGATATTTCATTCATAATTTTTTTTTCTTTTTTTTTTCTGTATATTTAAAAGATTCATGGTAATGAACGTCAAGCACGTATGATTAGTGCATTATTTGGTAAAGCATTTTGTCAAGATGGTATAGGTATTGGTTGTGATGAAATTGAAGGACAAAATCATTCTGTATTAATTGTTAATAAAGATTGGAAAAATGAAGATGAACGATTAAATTTTGTTTCAATGATACTTCAACATTTTCCATCACTTTCAGCTCAACTTGATATTAATGGACAACTTGCATTTCATGATTATTCTATGCATTCATCATATTCATTTAATGATATTATAGAATTAATTAATAATGAAAATAATCATGAAAAATTTTTTATTGAAGAACAAAAAATGAAAAGTGAACTTGTTGATCAAACTGAATATGAAAATTTATTAATGCTACTTGAATCATCACATATGCGTAATATATTTAATATGTTACGACATGAACATGCTCGTCTTTTTTCTGGTTATGGATGTGCTTCATTAACATTACCATCAATATCAAAAAAACATCGAGAAAAACAACATGAACAAAAACAAGATGAATGTGATAAAAATAAAATTCTTGTATTTCCACCTTCCCATTTATGTACATTAGTTTTTATCTCTTATCAACCATGTATGTGTCTTACAGATATGAATTGCTTTTGTTATTAATAACAATAATATTAACTTTTTAATTCAAAACAATTAATGAAACAATTCTAAGCATAGTTTGTACGAATATCAAAGGATCACTTTAGTAATACAGTATCTTTTCTTATCATTTGATATAAGAATTTCTGGTGAATATTTTGAGAAATTTCAAAATAATATATTTTGTTATTGTTATTGCTAAATAACAATAACAAAATATATTATTTTGAAATTTCTCAAAATATTTACCGCAAATTCTTATATCAAATGATAAGAAAAGATACTGTATTACTAAAGTTATCTTTTGACGCTCATACAAACTATGCTTAGAATTGTTTCATTGATTGTTTTAAATTAAAAAGTTAATTTTATTGTTATTAATAACAATAACTTTCTCACCCCTATTTCCGAACGATTTCTTATATGCTTTCTTTTACTGTACATATGCTTGTGTCTCTTATTTGTTTCTTTATTCTTGTCACTTGAACAATTGTAAATGAAGTCAAATATGGTTATTACCCGTATCTTGCTTACATGCAATCATAAGGATTTTTCTCTCTTTGTTTATATGATTATACGTATACATATATTAGTCACGCATCATGAAATTTTCCTTTTCTGTAATATATGTTGGATATTTTTCATTTCTTCTGTGTTTCTTTCTTGTATGTTGTTCTATGGATTTCCCCAAAATTATCATCCTATATGTAGTCATTGTATTATTACTACGAAGAGAAACATATATAATAATATTAAAATAAAGTAGAAGTGGGATTACAAAAATCAAAAACGTTACAAAATACAAATGCAAGCAAGGTTTTTGCATGTGTTTATAACTGTATGTGTGGTAATAACTTTTATTATTCCTATGATTCAATTTTTTATTGGAGTTAAATATATTGCTCGAAATGAAGATAATTTTAATCAACAATGTAAAGCAGTACCTGATTTAGCACCACTTATGGTTATTTGTGGTATATTTTCAGTTTTTTTCTTTAGTACAGCTTATATTTTTTTAAGCATAATTTCTGCAGTAAGTAAATACCAAATTGATATATCTGAAATAGCGTCAAAAATTGTTGTTGGTAAGTATTTATTAGTTTAAATAAACAAAATAAATATAAATTTAGAATATTATTAAGGTCTTATTACTTTTATTTTTGGTACAATTACATGTAGTTTTTCTATTATTCTACAAATTCGAGTTTATGGAGTCTATCCAAACGGTGTTCAATTTAATAATTATTTAATAGCTAGTTATTGTCCATCGACACTCATGCGTGGTGCTTTAGCTATGATTATTCTTACATATTTCAATATACTTCTATTTATTGGCATTGTTATATTTGTTGTTATTCATAGACGAATTAAAATACAACAAGAAAAGCAAGGTGATATTGAATCAGCGATGGATTAGATCAATGACAAATTTTAAGAACTCATATGGTGACAATAATAAAAGACTTTCTTTTAATCAAATAAAATATAAATCTATATATAAATTTGTAATTAATCTAAGACACCATTTTATCCAAATGACTTGTGTTTATCTGTCAAATAATATATATTTCAATAAACTATTCGTAAATTCATTATAGAGAATTTATGATGCTTTTCATTTCAAAATAGAAACTGTTATAGAGCATTTTGTGATGTTCTACTCTCAGAACAGAACTTCTAAATTGAGTATACCTATTAGAAAAATCTAAAACCTTCATAAAAAGTATTTGATTACTTTCAAATTGAGTATTCATATTTTATTTATGTCATTGTGAAAGAATGCTACAATTAAGTTGAGTATATAAGTAAAAAGTTACTATGTTAATCAAATTATTCGGATTTGTTTTTACTGCTTTTATTACGATACGAAGAACAACCTTTTTTTTTGAAAGTTAAATTTGAAAAATTTGAAGTTTTTTTTTGGACTACGTGCTACGACAAATGGTAAGTGACCTTCTATTACGGATATTTACAGCACTTATCCAAAAGTGACCTTTTATTTTTAGCTAGAGTTTTGCTAACATCTATCTATAAAATTAAAGAATTTTGAAAAATCTGCTGAGACTAAATTATCTATGTAAAAAAAGGGCTCAAACTCAGACTAAAATTGATTGTTTTTACATGAAGAATTGATTGAAATGACACTATTTTAATTCGATTTTTCAATCTTAAAACAGACTACATGTAGTTTTAATCTTTTTTTTTACAATTTACTAAAATCGATTTCTAATAATTGATTGAAATAAATTAAAGAAAATATAAAAATCAACTGAAATATTTCCATAAGGTTGAAATATCTGATTAAAATTAGAATCAAGTAGAGGCATTTTAATCGGTTTTAATCTAAAAATAATCAATTTTTATCTTAATTGAAGCCTTTTTTTATTCATTAGTAGATGTTGTTAGCAACTAAATATTGTAGAATACTAAGTTTTTTACAAGATAAAAATACTGTTCTTTAGGAATAAAGTAATTTTAATCACAAAACACTTGTCTTCTACTCAAAAACCAGATTTTTTTATGTGTTAAGTCTAAAGAATTCCACAGAATTTTTGAAAAAAAAAATTTAAGAAACCCGTTACCTTGCATTATATTTTCGAAATTTTCCTGCGGACCATCCTCCTATATAAAATGATATTTTGTTCGTCGTGAGTGTGAGTGTTAATCTTTGCTATATCCGCACTAACGCACACCCACACACCTCACTCCAACAATCTTTTTTCATAAAATATATTTCCGAATTTTCATTTATTGCTTTGTAATAAGATCTAAAACTTCTTGTTTCGTTTGATCAGATTACCAAATGTCATTATTAACTCTTCACCATTACACCATAGAAAATCTATCATAATATCATGATTGTAAAATAATAAACTACAGAGCAAATCAAAACTTTTACAATTAAAACTACAGCCTCATATGATATCAGCCATTCCACTTTTTTTCTAGAGCCATCTAGGTTTTCTTAGGTATAACAAAGTATGTTATAATTTCCATATTTTTGCATTCTTCATCATTTATTCGATTGTCCGATAATCTTATGATCTTACTTTGATCGAAAATGTGAATATTCTCCTATCAAATCAAATAAATTACATCAGTTGTATTTCTATATATTTCACTGATAAATTTATACAGTACATCTAATTATACCACTACTTAAAATAGATGAAAATAACGTTACTGAATTACTTACAACATATTAAAAATCTTCAAAAATACAAAAGTATTTTTAAATCGTTTTTTTTTTTCATAGTGAGATTACAGAAAAAAAATAGATGAACAAATCTTTGTATTTTTGAAAACTTTTTCATTATAAATTAAAAGAAATCATAATATTCTCTTTTTATCCGATTCTAAATTGAATAGATTTCTAGTAAAGATTTAGCTTCCAATACGTCAAACTACTCAATAAAGCTGAAGTACCTTTAATTCAATCGATAAAGAATAATCTAATTGAAGAACCAATTCTTCTACATATAAATATTGTGGGAAAGCAACTCACCAACTTCAATTTACAGACATGTTCGTAGATGAGTCTGCTAGTAAACGGTAATCGAGTGTTGACATTCACATTTTGAATTTATTGAAATGTTACAAAAAAAAAATGAAAACTGCAACAGTTAGAAGCTTAAAAATAAGAGAAAATTATTGAGGATTACAGAAAGTTTTTAAAGCAAATATTACTTAATCATATGTAAGGGTTAATACTCAATTAAAAGAATTCACTAAACATTTCTATTTATACTCATATCTAGTGTTTCTTATTCTCATATAGATTATTAGTTATTTTTTAGCCGATTTTATTTTTCAATACTACAGTTGATTGTCATAACATCCAGTTGTTCCTATGGTCAATTGTAGTAGAACTAAATATTATGTTTATATAATAAAAATGTCTTTTAAGACTCTTATTGTAATTAAATATGAAATACAATAGTTTAAAAAATATTTAAATAATTCAAAAGTTTAATTTTACTTTTCAAAGATAATATTAACTATTAACTTTAAAAACAATAGAAAATATAAAATAAATGCGGAAACTTCGGATTTAAATCCGAGAGTTATGTGTACTTCAAAAAGTGAATCATACAAATCAATCATCCTAGACTGTCTGAATATCAAAATTATACTGTGAAATCTACCATTTAAAATGTTGATTTCTATTACGCGTCGCCAAACCAATAGGACATGGGCCAAATACAGCTCAAGTTTGAACTCTTTCCCTTGATTTACCCTAAGAAAGTCGTTTTTCCTATAACTTCATTTCTATTGGTCACTGCACAACTAATAGTATTTCGATGGAAGTGCAGTACACATTCGAGTTCTCCATATCTGAAAACCTCGAAGTATCATCAGTGTGATCGGAAGCTAGAGCTCGATTTGTGGATCAATTAAATCGTGGACCAAAATATAACCTAGTTCTCTTTAATTATCCTTGTCATATGTGAGTCAACCTTCTTGTTTCTCTATGCTTTATATATGATTTTGTAGCTCTTGAAATTCTCTATCGAATGGTATATAATAATTGGGGTTTTATTTGACTATGATAGGAAAAGTCTTTTACGAAAGCGGCGATGGGTCGATTTTTCCACAGAAAGCTATAGAGAAAAATGGGTATTTTTGAAATAACTCAGGAACGACTCGGCCAATCCTTCTCATCTTCGAACTCGACGGAGATATTGTCAATACTAAGCTGTGTAGAAAGTTTCATCGCAATCTGACTCTGCTGTCAAAAGTTATCATGTAAACAGCCAACCGGACGGACGGACACACTGACTATTCTATAGTGTACTCACTTTTTGAGTAGACAAAACGATGATTCGGTTCAAAACTAATATCAGATTCAGAATCAGCGTTAAAAACTGAGTCGATTTATGTATTTTGTGAATAATTATGAGCAAAAACTTTTTTTCGAAAAATCCCCGTACCCCCCCTCAGGGATGGTCTCGTCAAAAATCACAATTTTTTCGATAACTCAGTCATTTCTTGACGGATCCTTCTCATCTTCGAACTCGACCGAGATATTGTCAAGACTGATCTGTGTAGAAAATTTCATCGCGATCTGACTCTCCTTTCAAAAGTTATCGAATAAACGGACGGCCGGACACACTGACCGATTTTAGTAGTGTACTCACTTTTTGAGTACACAAAAAGTATGGAAAGTATTATGAATTTAACTTCGATATATCCTTCATAGAGATTGTTCTAATCATTTACATATTCATATTAAAGCAATACAATCTAAAATAAATAGTTTCGTATGTAATTAAGATGAAATATATTTGTTTTTATGTATTAAGAAATATGTCGACATGGAATAATATAAACATCCTCGAAAATTATAAACACATTCTTACAATAGGGCAGAATAAACATAGTTTTTATTGTCGTTTCTCTAAATATATTTTATTGTTCTCCTATAGATATAAATGTTTATTAAAGTATAATTATTAAAAAAAAAAAGAGTAGACTTTTAGTAACAAAAAAAAAGAAAGAAATAACGAAGAAAATCATCCCCTACTTTTTCATCTAACAAGCTATTCCTTTTAATAATAAGATAGGTGATAAGAACTTGTTCATTCAGAACGACGTTCAGGTAGAAATTACAACATTCAATCGTGCCTTCCTCCTCCCAAGATTTGACCAGTTTCATCAAACCCTTCTGGATGTCCACTGGAAAAAAAAATTTTAGAAAAAAAACTACGAAGGGTGTGGGTGTAAATGTATTATATCTTATTCCTTAACCACACCCACATTCTTAACAAACAATAAACAAAAATTCAACCTAGAATAAAATTTTTCGGTTTTAAATACATTCGATTTTAATGAGCAGAAAACAATAAAAATATAAACAGTACAAATAAAAACTGAAGTTCAATACCAATCGCGCTTGAAAATTCAATGATGTTCATATCATTGTTTCAGAAAATGATTAGTTTGCCATTATAGTATAATCTTCAATTATTTAGAAACCATATTCATATTCAACTTATTGATTTAGTTCATTTTCTACGTAAGATTTTTCTTCAAAGCAAACAGAGCTTCCATATTTCGTGAAAAGTTGTATGAAAAAAAGAAAAATATTCATAGTAAACTTCTAGATCACTAGCACTATTTGCTCATCTCCAATTTTTGTTCAGATTTGTTTAGTTTGGAAGGATGCCTTCTTCTACTCTTTACCTGGGTGTTTTTCATTGATGACTCTTAATAGAGAAAAAAATTAAAATTTTTCTCTCAAATAACTAAAAAGAATTAAAAGATAGAATAAAAAAGTGAACTATTCTAAAGTAATAGAATGCATTACATTTCCTTTTTTCTTTCGTTTACAAAATCATCTAGTTATGCTATTTTATTCAATAAACTGTGTTGTATACATTCTGCTTTTTAGAACAGCATGAAACATCATGTATGTCG